GTCTAAAAAGTTCTTCGCTTCTGAGGTATCTGTGGTCCATGACTGTCCAGTAAAGCAAAACTCTTATTAAAGGTTTCAATCTGATTCTGAAAGCAAGCTGATCTGCTCAGAGGCCAGTAGCACAATCCCTGGAAGTTCAAGAGTAGACATATTGGAACTGAGGTACACAGGCAGGAATGAGGGCTGTTAACTGGCTATCCCATTAATACTCAGTTTCTTTATCTATGAAAACTGCCCACAGGCCCCACAACTGAGGGTGGGGAATATCTCTAGCTTTGGTTACAGACTGGTGGGAAAATCTAGCAAGTGGCTAAGTCAGCAAGACCTCTGAGTTGTGCAGTGTGTATATCCAAGAAAACCAAGAGGGAGAAGAAAGTGAGACTGTTACGAACCCCACCACACAGAATGTAGCATTACTTGTGTGTGTAAACAATGTCTGTTTGCTAGGACAATAAATAGATTAACCTGTCTGTGGGTGGGTGGCTATGTGCTGCTTCAGTAGTGTGACCGTGGCTATAAAAGGGTAAGGGGGAAATAAAGGGAAGAAGCATAAGAGAGAAACAAGAGCAGTAACGTCTTGGGTTACTGCAGAGAGATGGGAGCTGCAGAAATAGCTTAAGATAGCTAGCTAGGACTCAGCTGTAACAGCTCCCCAACCCATATGGCCATGTTAGCCCTGGCTAATCTCCTCCAGTCACAAGACTTCTACTGCCACCTCTATGCTGACAACCTGAGTTTTCCCTCCACACTGACCTTTTGCCCTCCATCCGGTCTCATATCTCTGATTATCTCCCTCCCTCTTATCTCATCTTGCATAGCCTGCTGCTGGATGACATGCAACTCCTCATCTTTCCTTCTTGGCCCCTCCTTCCCTGTTCTCCCACTGTTGGCAATTTCACCACCCTTCCTGCTAAGCAGGGCTTCAGTCTTGGGGTTATCTCTGACTCCTTCCACTTCTCTCCTCCACAGATTGTGGCTGTCAGTAAATCTTGCCAGTTTTTCCTCAACAACATTCTGCAGATCTAGCCATTCCTCCTGCCGTGACCTGGTGACCTCTCATCCTGATTATTACAGCCACCTCTTCTTGGACCTCCGTAGCACTCACTCCAGCCTGCAGAGCTACGTTGAGTTTATCTACAATATTTATATGGTCCCCATTACCATATAAATACTGTATCTGAGCACCTCATTATCTTTAAATATATTTACCTTCCCAACACCCCTGTGAAGTAGACCAATGGTATTATCCCCATTTCACAGGTGGGGAACTAGGGCAGAGAAAGACTAAGTGAATTGACCATGGTCATACTAGAAATCTGTGGCATTGTGGGAAATTGATTCCTGATGTCCCAAGTCCCAAGTTAGATTCCTAACCACATCATTCTTCCTCCCCAAACTCTGGCTAAATCTTCTTACAAGTCGGCTCTTATGCATGAGTTGGAACACCTTCATAAATCTATGCAACTGGATCCCCATCTTCCTTTCCATTCTTATCTCCTCTGATTTCTCTCCTTGATGACTTCACTCGGTCAAGCTTGGTGCCCCATTCTTGTTTTTCCTCCACTCCCATCTTTGTGCCTTCTTCCATGCGGCTTCCTGGCTTTGAAATGCCCTTTTCAGTGTTATGTTCACAGTACACAGAGAAGGTAGATACAAACATATAAATTGCTTATTCTGCAGGGCTGCAACATAACACGACTTTATTTCTTAAAATCCAGAACTGTAACCGCAAGAACCAAAACCAGGCAGAGGCAAAGCAGGTTGCTTCCAAAGACAGCAAGTCATAGGTCACCTCACCTTGCTCTAGCCTGTCTCTTTCCAGATTGATTCAGATCAGAGCCCTCTACGGGGGCCCCTAGCTTGCATTTCAAATAGGACTAGGAAACCCCTTTCACTTGATAGCTTGTAATAAGTAATGCAGTTTTCAATACACCTTATTTATCGCAGCTCTTCATATTTACATGGTCTCCTCAAAACCATCCTGAAGACTCACTTTGTGAACGTCTAAGACCTGCCACTCTTTGCTACTCATTCACATTGCTTTTAGTGCCCTGCTTTCCTCTTTCCTGCATTTCTACATTCTCCACTTACTTTATGAGCTTTTTTGGTTGAGGATTTCGTCTGTAAAGGGGCTTCCCCATTGACTCTGCCTTACAAATAACAGTTGTTAACACCAAGCCTAACCTGAGAATCAGTGATCATATTTGTCTTGGGAAGGAGGCTGTCCCAATGAGAGGCTGGGCAGAAGTGGAATAGTCTTATAGTGGAAAAGAATCCATTTTGCTTCCTCTTGTGGAGACCTTTAATCTACTGTGGTCAGAAAGCCATGTTTATATTTCCAGGGTGATAATGAAGATTCCTCTTGTAATTATTAGCAGGTTTATATGTTAATAGCTTGCAGGGTGCATGGTGTTACTGTGTTCTAGCCAAGGGAAGTTTTGGGAGGGATTTATGGCCTCACTGTCCCAATTTCTTTTGCTTTTAGTTGTCATGAGATTAAGATCTAGATCACAGTCAGAAGAAGAGTGGTGTTTTTAGGTCACAGGTTAGAACAGGTCTGGGCAAAATACGATCGGTGGGCTGAATCAGGCCCACCTAGACATAGGATCCAGCCCACAGATGCTGCGGAGAGCCCCAGGCGGTCTCCCACCTTGCCTCGCCCCACCCACACTCCACGCAGAAATGCAGCTGTGCCGTGGTTTTTCTTTAAAAGCTGAGAGTCTGGAGGGGAGGGGGGAAGCTTTAGGAGCTGCTTCAGCCCCCAGCACAATTCCATTGGCTGGTTTCTGGCCAGAAACTGGCCAATGGAAGATGCCTGTTTCAATAACAGGTAGCCATGAAGCATAAGGGGCTGCAGCTTGTGCTAGGGGAAGGGCAGCCAGGGAGGCTGATTTAGGAACCACTGCTGGCTGGTAAGTCTCCTGGCAGAGCCTACCTCTGGTACCCAGGCCTTCCCTTCCCCAACCCTCTGCCTCCCACTCCTGCCCCCTACCCCACATTCCCAGATCCAGCATCTCAATCCTCTGTCCCAGATCACAGTCCCTTCCTGCCCTAGCATACAACCCAAATCCCTGCACCCCCTCTTTTACCCCAATTCCCTGTCCTAGGTCACAATCCAACTCCCACTCCAGTCTAGTGCCCTGGGTCACAACTGCCTCCTTTACTCAAACTCCTTCCCTTACCCCAAGCTCCCTTCTGCACCCAACCTCCATCCCAGACCCTGCATCTCCTCCATTAATATCCTGGAAGAGTGCGACCCTTGACCATTTTCCGAATTCTTGGAGTGGCCGCCTATTAAAATTATTTCCCACCCTGGGTTAGAAGAATGAAACATGTATATATTGATGCATTTGGCCTTTAGTGAAGACTGATTCTGCAAGCTTCCAAGAGTATTTAACCACTCATCCAAGATCCCAGTGAATACTCTTTGTTGGCAGCTCTGGATTAAGTGAACTAGTCACTTGCATCCCCTTCTCTCTATCGTTTATTGTTAAAAGGGTTGGTTTGAGAGCCCTGAAGACCTAAGTTCTCTGTTTAGTTATACAACATTCACAACCTAGGTGGGAGAAGTGAATTTTCCCCTTATCCTCACAACTGAGCTTCAACCCTTCCCTGGAGGGATCTGTTCCAGAATGCCACAGTAGCCTCATCTCCATGATCTTGCAACCTATTCATTCTCTCTTGAGATTTCCCACAAAGGTGCTGGTTCTAATGCTAGTTTCTCTGAGGCATTTATCTATCCAATAGAAAGTGATGTGTGACCAGCAACTCATGTCACAAAGGCCTTAGAACAACCATCATAGGTAGATGGCTTTAACTGGGCCAAATTCAGTTCCTGTATGTGATCATTTTTTAAAAATAAAAACAAAACACTTGAAAAAAGAGAAACATGGCAAGCGGGGGCTTGCAGTCGAAATGCATGAAAGATGAGAACAATCCACTCGCCTCTGTTTGGTATAAATGATGATGGGAATAGACATTGTTTTTTTTAATCTTAGAGAAAGATGGTAATGAAGACCCACATGTATTGTATGGGTGAAGCATTCCTGTGATGGTGCTACACATCACCCTGTCATCCTCATTTATTTTCAAAGTCCAACAGAATAATCATTCTTTGTGTTTCCTAAGGGATGAGAAGACTAAATATGAGTGTGTCAATGGATTCATTGTTGGTTTCTCTGAGTATTACAGTGCAAATACACACGTAGGATATTGTATCTTGTTCTAGTCAAGAGAGAGACCTTGAAAAGGAAAGCTTATATAAAAAATGCTTATAATGCTGTTTGCATACTTGAATTTTTAGGAAAGTAGCTATTTTTGTATCTGTTCCAGTGGAATCCTAAACATAGTTGAACTGGACAGCGTATTTTGGAAATAATCCCTACCAGCATCAAGTTGGCACATCTGTTTATCTTGAGGTTACCTTCCAATCCTTCCTATGTTGAAGATGGGTATTTGAAGCCCATTTGAAAATGTTGCCAAGAGACCAATAAAAACTGATGCCAACTATTATTGTAATGCCAGATACTCTATACCTTCTTAGTAAAAGTCAGGAAGTGCCTGAAAGTTATCAGTTTTGCAATGTTTTCTCTATGGCAGAGTTGGAAAACTCTTTTGGCCTTATCTAATGCACAGAAGTTGCACCAGTTAAACTAAAATTGTTTCTTGGACTGATTTGACTAAATGGTTACAAGTCCCTATGTACACTTAAATTGGTTGACACTTGATTTATATGAATTAAGCTACAAAAGAGTCAACCGAGGTGTGCCTACATAGGGTTTTACACTGGTTTAATGATACCTGTTTTAAGAATGGCTTTAGTTAAAATGATGTAGCTTTTGTTTGCTGATAAAGCTTTTGTCTTTGTGTATGGCTGGAGAAGGGTTAGGTCTGAGGGAGTATTGGTGCAGTTTTGAACTATGTAGATATTTTCTTTTCTCATTTAAAGAGCTCAGTGTTAAAAATACTGAAAAGTATGTTTTTCCTGACTGTTTCAACAGGGCCCGGCTCGTATGACTCCTGATCTTGCTTCCTCGTCTGTGGCAGGATATGTCCCTGTGGGTCAGAAACCAGAGGCTGTGGTACATGCTATGAAGGTAGGTCTGCATTCGGTCCATATGTTGCATTGCTTCTGCGTACACCTGTAAAAGCATCATCTGGCATTTCCCTCATGATGGAATCCCGCTAATCAGAGACAGAAGAGAATTATTCAGACAGATTATTGCAGCCATACCACCTCAACCATTACCATACCCGCTGAGCAAGGTCAAACCTGGCCAGCTTTTGGTTAAGAGACCTTCAAGGAAAAGTCACTATACTACAAGGGCTACATCTACACTGGCATGATTTTCCAGAAATGCTTTTAACGGAAAAGTTTTCCGTTAAAAGCATTTGCGGAAAAAAGCGTCTAGATTGGCATCCGTGACCAATCTAGACACGTTTTTGCGCAAAACAAATCTCAGCTGTCTACACTGGCCCTTTTGTGCAAAAGTTTTGCGCAAAAGGGACTTTTGCCCGAACGGGAGCACCATAGTATTTCCGCAAAAAGCACTGATTTCTTACAGTAGGAAGTCAGTGCTTTTGCGGAAATTCAAGCAGCCAGTGTAGACAGCTGGCAAGTTTTTCCAGAAAAGCGGCTGATTTTCCGGAAAAACTGGCCAGTCTAGACACAGCCCAAGTTGTTTACCTTTTGAGTTCATCAGTCCTGACTGAACCAATGCCCCAAGGTGGCTTTAGGAAGCATTGGGTGCCATTTCAGTATGAGATACATACTGACAGTCTTGAGCATTTTTAATCATTGAAAATCCTGTGGCAGTTCTCATATAGGGAGCATTGTTTCTAATTATGTAACAAACCATGGCTTTATACGCACCTGATTTGTCCTGGGGGTAAAAATAGAACCCTGCCACTTGAGGTAAAGAAGAACTATAACTGGGTGGGGCTTGGTAGCAAGTGATAAAGTCAATAGGACCAGCCTTTAAAAGAAGAAATGTACTTGACATGTACTAAGCTGGGTTGGTAACATTTTCCCCATCATCCGGAATGTCTAAGATCAATAGAAATTCTAGTTTGAGGGTGTGGTACAATGAACATACACACAGATCATATAGCTGCCTGTGGGAATCAAGACCAGAGCCTCCTGCACTAAAAACTAAAAGGCCTTTTATATTTAAGTAGGTTGTACAGGTGCTGGTATTACCCACAAGAGGGAGACTTGACCACTCACACTGCAGTCCCATTCTGCCTGTACCTTTTCTCATGCAGTTTCTGGATAAGGTGACATTCTTTGCTTCCTGTCCTCAGGACTGTTGACTGGGAAGGGGAAAAGGCCACTTGCCTCGCAGCCAGTATTTCCTGTAAGCTTACATTTAGGTGGCCACCCAAGAGAGATTCAGGTGCCGACTAGTGATTAGCAGAACACCCACAGCCACTCAAAGAGGGCAGCATGTGTTTCTACTGGTGGTGCACATCTGCACGTGTATCGGTGCACATAACATTTATTCTGTGCCTAATGGGAAAAAAATAGAGGGAACAGACCTGCATATCCTAAATAATTAAAAGAGCCAGGGGCTCCAGGCCCTTTAAATCACCACCGGAACCCCACACAACGTTGCCTGGGAGATGCTGATGACTGACTGGAGAAGGCGCAGCATGGTCCAGGTAGTGCTGAGGGTTGGCTGCTCCTAGCCCTGAGCCTTCCATCTGAGGCCTTGCCTCTTCTGGGGGGCCTGAAGCTGAGCCTCTCTCCCCACTCCCTAGGGTCTCCTGGGCCCGGTGACATCTGTTGGCAGACCTGCCTATCCTAAATGATTCTGTGCTGTTGACAGTTGCCAGGCTCCACCCCACACTGAGGCTGCATTTCAGCTGTGGATGAAAGTATTCCCCTTTACAAATGTGTGTGTGTGTGTGTGTGTGACAGAGAGTGAGACAGAGGGAGAGAGATACAAACACTATGGACCAGATGTTTAGATAGTGTGTGTTGATTTATAGCAGCTGGGACTTTAGTTGGGTGTTCGTGGCATGTATATTTGTAAGCGTCTTTGGAGTCAGAACCACAGCTGATGTCAATCACTGTAGCTCCATTCACAGAGGTGAAATGCCTGTGCCATAGTATGTGTTGCAGAACCACATGATAAATGAATTTAAGATGCACCTTTGACCTCCTTACCTGCCCACTGTTCATCAATCGAGCTCTGCTAGGACTTTCCCTAATATTCCAAACTACTGATCTGTTTCATTGTGGTAGGGGTTAGGGAGAAGGACAGTTTCTGGATAAATGGCTCTGGAGCCATTTGGGGCTTTAAAGGTTAAAACTCTTGAACGCCATTTAAAAGCCAGTTCCATTGAAAACAAAGAAATAAGCTCTGTAGCCCCTTAGCACCACATGAACTTGGGAATGTAATTTAAATTGAAATTAAATAGAAAATATAGTAAATATTCTCCTTTGAAACTCATGTATCTGGAAGATCGCTGACTGATAGAATCAGACATTGGATTCTACATGGAAGTTTTAATTAATCTACTCCAAAATTGCCCTGGATATTTACAGCCAGTGTTTACTTTATAGCAAGATATTTCTGGGTGATCTGCATTGAGATTTGATTGTACAGGTTGTGTTGCTTTCCCAAGCGGGGAGCTGGAGGCATACTGAATTCCAAACAAGCTTGTTCAAAGTGTGAGTCCATCTGAATCTGTAATTAAACAATTCCATCCTTTTTAATAGAAAAATTGAAATTTTATTTGTCAGGCAGGACTGTCTTTCACATGCTCCATTAAAAATCCTGAGAATAATTAGGTAAAATTAATGCTCATGCACAAATTCCACTGGTCCCAGATATAATGGTTAAACTAGTGATTGGTGCTTTTTAAAAAGTAGGTTAAGAGCCCTAAGAGAATGACCTATTTTTATAACCAAAACATTTCACATACAGCAGGATTTCTCTACTTGAACAACCAATGAATAATCTAGGCAAGTATTCTGTTTCTATCAGTGGTCAGTGCTGGATGCTTCAAGAGTGAAATCCATCCTTGTAATGCATCTAACCCTGAAGTTCATTTGTGTGGTTACACCTATGCACATACAGCAGGTATATTTGTATGTGTATTTCTTTAACATAAGAGAGAGGCTACCTGGTATGTGGTTTAAACACCATATTGCTAGGTTTCTGAGCTGGCCACACTAGTATAAGTAACAAAGCTATGAAAGAGTTATGTAGGTCATCCCAAACACATGTAAGTAAAATAAGTACTTACTGTCCAACCATGCTGTGCTTTTATTCATGTAACAGATATGATAGAAAAAAGCTATTTAAAAATGTTTTAGTGTGTTTGTAATAGGCTGATGCTGTTTTTGTCTCCACCTATAAAGGCAGGTAGGTGGCCTTAATACCCCTATTATCTATACATCAGAGAACAGGAAAAACTCTTTTTAGCAACTTCTAAGCATTGCCCTAAAATCAGGTGTTTATAAAGAAAAATAATGTGATTTTAAAAATACATTGTATTTTTTACTTGAGGCAATAAGTCAAGAAAATGAGTTACAAGTAGCTTCAGATATCCCACTTGTCGCAGAGCCTCCTGCTAATTTTTGTGCTTTTACAATTGCATTTTCCTATTTGAAAATGCTTTTCTCACTCTTGTTGGTGTGTAAAAGGCCCACCAGCACAACAGGAGAAAATGAGAGGCCTCCAATTCTGCAAATTTTTACGCATGTGAATAGCTGCATGACTATCCGAATTAAACTGATTACATTTACACAGGAGGAGAGGGTGTCCCTGCCTTGAGGAGTTTACATTGGAAAGTCTGGTCTGGTTCACAAAGGTTTTTTTGTGCCAATTTAACTTGGGTAGGAGTGTGATTTGTTTACAGGTATAGTTAAAGCAGTAAAACCCTTAATGTGGATTCGCATATAATAGAATCTTATACTAGTACAATTTATTTGTGTACATTTGTGAGACTAAGCTACACTGATGTGAGCATCTTTACCTGGTAGAAATGCATTCATGATACTTTAACTAAATCAGTTTCAAATCCACATAGGTAGGGTCCTTACCAAATTCATGGTTTATTTTGGTCAATTTCATGGTCAGAGGATTTTAAAAATTGTAAATTTCCTGATTTCAGATATTTAAATCTGAAATGTCATGGTGTTGTAATTCTAAGGGTCCTGACCCCAAAAAGGAGATATGGAAGCATTTACAGTAATACTGCCCCTTACTTCTGAGCTGCTGAGGTGCAGCGCTGCCTTCAGAGCTGGGCAGCTAGAGAGTAGCAGCTGCTGGCCAGGAGTCCAACTCTGAAGGCAGAGCTGCCTTCAGCAGCAGAGCAGAAATAAGGATGGGATGGGAGGGTATTGCCACCCTTACTTCTATGTTGCTGCTATCAAAAAGGCAGAGCTGCCTTTAGCAGCAGAGCAGAAATAAGGATGGGATGGGAGGGTATTACTTCTATGCTGCTGCTATCAGGGCATCAACTTCAGAGCTGGGTGCCTGGCAAAAAGCCACTGCTCTCCAGCTACCCAACCCTAAAGGCAGTGCAGAAGTAAGAGTGGCAATACTGTGACCCCCTTTAAATAACTTTGTGATCTTCCTTTTGGGTCAGGACCCCCAATTTGAGAAATGCTTGTCTACAGTGTTCCCGCTCCAATTTTTTCCATTCATGAGTGGAATAAATTTTTTTCATCACCAACAGAAACACAGACTACTACCAGCTTTGGGCGGCTGTGGCCCAAGCACTCAGGGTACAGGAAATACTGCAGGTCTCCTCCGTGAAATCTGGGTAGTATAAGGTAAAAGCACACCAAAGATGAGATTTCGTGGTGTGAGGGAGAGACCAGATTTCACAGTCCATGACATGTTTTTCATGGCCATGAATTTGGCAGGGCTCTCAACATAGGTAAAGTGGGAGTAGAGAAGTGCCATGGCTCTACTCCTATCCCTCATAATCCATTGAAGGACATTAATCTCTTTGTGGGAGCAACAGTTAATAGAATTGGGGATGTGGCAAACCACATCATTGTAAAACCTACCTACTGTTCTTGTAGAAGATGCAATTGATGTTTGAGAAATATAATACCTTGTCAATCTGTTTATTTGTAGGTTCTTGAAGTCCATGAAAATTTGGACAGGCAAATGCAAGATAACTATGAAGAAGACCTGAGTGAAAAGGAGAAAGCAATTGTTCGTGAAATGTGCAATGTAATAACTCTTTGTAGTATTTTAGATGTTTTGTAATACATTACCTGGTAGCATCTGTTCTGTGTGAGCCTTGTTTGGTTGTGTTGTTTGAAACCCACAGAGAAATTCAATCATAAGGAAAACTAAATTGAAGCTCTGCTGAATTCCATATGGGCAGGAGTCAAGTGTCAAATACCTGAACACTTAATGTGATGTATTTGCCCAGAAGAAACTTAGGGTTGAGCTGGCTTAAAGGATACAGGCACACCCGCTCATTTCCTGGGAGAGAGTGGCTTATCCTATTAGGGCTGATTGGCAGTTATGCAACTGTCTTTACCTGGCTCAGGGGTTTCAAATTTCAGCCCCATGTAATGATCTTGATTAGTAAGCAGAGGTCCCCTTAATGTCCCTGAAAATTACATGGTTGATTAAAAGCATTGTTTGGTCCTTGTGCCTTAATTTATATATTCTATGACTTAATTTAAAGTCATAGAAATTGAGTGATGTTGCATCCTCAATCTATAATCTTATATCCGAATTAGAATCCTCTTGTTTGACTCCATTAGGGGTGATCATGTGATTTTTTGAACTCGCTAACGTGTGTGGTCTAGCAACCACATTGTAAACAAAGGTTGCCACGTATTGTAAACTGAGCATTTATGCCAGACTTTGCTCTGTCTGAGGTGTGGTGGCTGCTGCTGATTTAATACCAGGCAAAATGATCTAATAAGAAAAGTGACTTGGGTACACACTGCGGATGAAAAGTGAGCTGTAAAAATGTTGCTCAATCTGAGCATATTTCAGAGGGTTTTCTGCTTGACAGCGCAATGGTTCCCACAGCAGGGACCCCCATAGACCATTCTCTTTGAAATACATTTTGCAGGTCAAAATATCAGTGGGACCTTTTTGGTGCATGAGGATTGCAGAGGAAGCAAAACTCTGTACAATTTCTGCATAGGTTGGTGATGATGGTGCGCCAAACCACTGAAATGGAAAATGGTGCAGAAATGTGATGCAATTTTATTTATGGAAAATATGCACGTATTATTTTGGAGAGTAATTTTTTACAAAGGTGTTGTTGGGCAGGAAGACTGAAACTGTTCAGTGTTGATTTTCTTCCTTTTCCCACTAAAAGAAGGAACAAATTGAAAGGGCTAGCCCAAATTTACCCCTACATAACCTCATCCTGTTAAAAAAAGAAGCCTTCTAAATTCCTGAATAGACCAGTGTTACAGTTGCAGAACATGAAGTGCTTCACTTTAAGGCCCAAGAATTATAGATAAATCCCTGCACTGAACAACAGTGAGCACCTCATTATTGCAGTTTTTTTTAAATGCCACTTTCTTTTAGCAGAACAACAAATGGCTAGAGCCCTGCAAATTTGCAGATGCGGATATCTGCAGTTCATTTTGTGGCTATGGAGACAGATACACACTTTGTATCTAGAACCCTGCAAATTTGCAGCTATTAGCTTTATATGCACAAGTATCCTCCTTTGCGGATGTGAATATCTGCCACTCATGTTTGTGGATACAGATGCGGCTACAGATACAAATTTTGTTTCTGTGTTGGACTGTACAGATGGAATGTGGTAACTTTAGGATTGCCTCTCAGCACACTGCGGGGTGAATACTGGATAATTTTATTTGTGTAAACTGAGAAGTGATTCTTCTCAGAAATTTTGTTGTTTATTGTCACTTCTTACCCACTCTTCCCATTTTCCTTGCAAGAGTCCTACTTTGCCCAGTGGGCTGCTTTGTGTTAGCCATGCATAACATCTGCTTTTAAAGGGCATAGTATCTAGGGATGTAAAAGATTAACCGGTAATCCTCATCCTTAATGGGTGAGACTTAGGGTACGTCTAGACTACAGGGTTTTGTCGACAGAAGTTTTGTCAACAGATACTGTCGACAAAGCGCGTCTAGACTACATTCAGTTCTGTCGACAAAGCAAGCTGCTTTGTCGACAAAACCCTGTAGTCTAGACACAACCCTACATGCAATAACACCTTCTGTCGACAGAAGGCGTTATGCCTCGTAAAATGAGGTTTACAGTGTCGACAAAACTGCTGAGTTCTGTCGACGTTATGTCGACAGAACTCAGTGGTAGTGTAGACGCAGGTATAGTTTTGTCGACAAAAGTCCACTTTTGTCGACAAAACTCTATAGTCTAGACACACCCTTACTGTTTCCAGTTAACGAGTAGGGGATGGAGCAGCTCCCTACCCACGCTAGACAGGGGACTGTTCCAGCCCCACAGGGCCCGCCAGAGCAGTTCCCATCCATGGTGGACCCGGCCACCCCCCCCATATGCCTGCCGTATGTTACATGCTGGCTCCCACTCTCAGGGAGTCTTTGCCACAGGCTCTGCAGTATAAAGGTTTATACTGCAGAGCCCACAGTGTGTGTAACTGCTATGATTTTTAGTGGTTACTTTTTTAACCGCATTTTTACATCCCTAATAGTATCTGAACAGGGGAGGATAGCAATCGAAAGCGAATATCACTGTATAAGAATGGCAGTGGTTTATCTAGCATTGAACTTAGCTTCTGAACCTAATGTATTAGTTTATATCATTATCTAAGGCATAACTAGTTCTAATTTCAAGAGGGATAATCAGATGAACACGTCAAATCCGTTTAAATGATATTTGGTGTATAAGTGCCATCTACTGGTCATTTGTAGAACTTCAACTCTACTATACAAATTTACCTATTGCAACTTCCAGACTCACCAAATGCAATCTTTCCTCCCTGTTTCTCACAGGTTGTCTGGCGAAAGTTGGGTGATGCAGCAAGTTCCAAACCATCCATCAGGCAACACCTTTCAGGAAACCAGTTCAAGGGTCCATTGTAGGCACATCTCTTGAAAAACTAGAAGCAACTCTGTAAAGAATCAGAGAGAGTGTGTCCTGTTTCTAGCAGCAAGTTGGATTTTTTTTGTAACTGTCTATAGTGTAAATATGACAGCTAAAGGCTTAGCCTCCAGGTTATGTTCTGGATCCAATGTTAAATGGGTTAACCATCCTATAATCTCAGACTTGTGTCACTTGTACTGTAGTGCAAACCCGCTTTGTTGTATGGTCTCTATGTAGAATTACCTAACAAGAAAATTTCTAGGAGGAAAAATTAAACCCTAACCTGTGGAGAAGTTATTTTGCATTGCGCGTGTCTACCTGCTTGTTAATTGATTCATAGCTAGGCTGGTGGCTCTATGCAGCCTGTTTTGGGATTCTCCCAAGGAAACAACAACCTGAAGCTAGTAGTTTATTAGCTGTCCCTTTACTGAGCTACTAAAATTGCTTGGAGGTCTTCATTTCTGGAGAATGATATGTAATTATTTTCAAGAGCTATCATATAAAATACTTTGTGGAGTGATAAAACACTGAATGCACCTTGAATGTTGTACCGTATTGATCGACGACACAGGTCTATAGCAGGCATACTGAATATCTTAAGTCTCTGTTTCAGCGGCCAACGAGCTGATTTTAATGTAATAAATGATACTCAGAAGATTTCTGCAGTTATAATGTGAATATTTTTTAGTCATTTGGCCACAATCCAGTATGAATATGGTAACACTTTTCCTGTAAAGCTTTTGCTGTTAAATACTTAGGCAAGAACAGCTTTCCCACCAGTGTGGCTTAGTTTCTAAATGAAGTTTCTGCCTTGGATCGTAGTACAGGCAGGCCCCGAGTTACGCGGATCCGACATATAGGATCCGCAGTTACAAACGGAGCTTTTCTCGCCCCGGAGGACTGGAGTGGTGGGAGGCCCAGATGCGCTGCAGTCCCGCCGCCCCCGTCCTCCGGGGCGAGAAAAGCTGCTCCACCTCGGGGTGAGAAAAGCTGCTCCACGTCTCCCTGGTCTGCTGGGGGGGGGAGCCCCCCCCCCCAGCAGACCAGGGAGACCGGGAGCAAAGCCACGGAGCACGCCCGCAGCGGGACAGCCCGGGCGCGCTCCAAGGCTTTGCTCCCCGTCTCCCTGGTCAGCAGACCAGGGAGACTGAGCAAAGCCGTGGAGGACTTGGGCGGTCCTGCCCCCCGCGTCTCCCTGGTCTGCTGGGGGAAGGGGGGGTGCAGGTAGTTGCCTTCCCTCCCCCCACAGCGGACCA